TGCTCGATTTTATACACCTGTCAGCAACGGGTGTGGGGGAAATAGCCCAATCCACTCATTTGAGGGGGTGTCCACATACTTTTGTATATATAGTGTACCTTATAATGGAGAGCTCTAGAGGAGAAATAATGCTACTCAGTTTTAGAGCTGGGACAATAAACCAAAAATTATCAACACCGACCAATTATCCTGGACATTTTGCTGATATCGTTCATTACGATAATAAGCCTATACTAGAGAAATGTGAAGTTTAAAATGACGTTTGCTAATATGGGGGACTGTTGGGACAATTGATAGCTACAACATTCAAACTAGCAGTAGTAGTTTGAAGGGTAATAAAAAAAAAATGGTGCACATTGTTATAAACTTATTGTAGGAACAGACTCCAATGAGATGCAATTGGACATCTTTTAGCATAAGGGCAATTCCATGGTTTTCCACTTATAAATGTATGCCAAACAAAAGCCATGGATTTCAAAGTTTAACAAACCATACAACTCTATGCACAAGGACTACTTTTAACAGTTGATACTGAACATTTTACAAAAGCACTGGAAAAACTGTGAAGATGCAAAGTTTGGTAAGAGAATTTCTATAACATCTCCCTCAGTGTTTTATGTGACCACGTTTTAACCCCCCCCCCCCCCCCCCCCCCCCCAATTTTTGTTATATGTGCTCCAAATTAAGATTAAAATATGTCTGCAGAAAGAATAGGGTGTAAGCTATGACAGCTATGACATGACACCTTGACTTTGAAAAAATCGATTTTGGTTATTGAACTACAGTAAGTGAAGTGGATTTACACCCGGTAACAGAATTTCGGTAATGGAATTTCATTATGGGTCCCTGACCTGTACTACACAGAAATGCATAATTATGGATATGAGTGTCATTCTCTTCATGGTGAGAGAATAAATAGCTACCCAAAGGTAGAAATATGCAATATCCTCCTTTGCATATTTGGGTATTATTTTAAAGACTGGCTGTTATTTAAATGTGCTCCGCCCCAAACAAGACCACATTTCATAGACATCTATGTTTCACAAGTTTGGACATCAAAGTACATCACTGTAGAGCTCAGTATAGTACAGTACAGTACAGCACAGCACAGTAGAGTATAGTTCAGTACAGTACCGTACAGTACAGTAGAGGTCAGTACAATACAGTATAGTAGAGTATAGTTCAATAAACAAAATACAGTACATTATAGTGTACTCAAATCTAGTGTGATCTACGGTATACTGTACTGAACTCTACTCTATTCTACTGTACTGTACTGAACTATGCTCTTCTAAACTTTTTTATTTTTTTTACTTTACTTTACTGTACTGTACTCTACTGTAATGTACTCTACCAAACTGTACAAAACGTTTTTGTTTTTTTACTGTACTACTGTACTGTACTTTGCTGTACTGTACTGTACTGTTCTGTACTGTGCTCTCCAAACTTGTGAAACATAGACGTCTATGATTGGTTCAGATTTGGTCCGGTCCGGACTGGATCAAATCTGAACCAATCATGGACGTCTATGTTTGGGCCAAATCAAGGTCGGTCTGGACCAAAAATCAACATCTGTGGACGTTGAAATTAAAGCTGGTCCAGACCGTACCAAAAAACGATGTCTCAAGCACTGCGATGCAGTGCCTAAGACCGCTGCACCACTCGGGAGGCCCCCAGAATGTTGAGTTGTAATCACTTAATAATTCATATACAAAATAAATATCAGTAAAAACACCATAACTAATTGGTAAGTCTACCTTTACTTTTTACTTCTGTGAACTTTCATTATATTCTCTCCTCGTGAAGGAGAGAAATTAGAAAATATCTTAAAGATATGTGGGTTTTTGGTAACGGAATTTCAAAGCATAATTTCTCCAAAACTATATATGTATTGATATTAGTTGGCAGGGGTCTTTACTTCAACATTGTTGTTGTTGTTGTTGTTTTGATGTATTTATAATACCTTTTAAGACTTTTTCTGGTAGATGTTTTCTAAGACCCCATTTCCATCTGTTTGACCAGAAATCAAAGCCTTAGCTTTCATTTGACACCAGATTTGACATGCTCCTATGAACTTGCGCTTAAGGGTCCTTTTACATGGAAATGCCCATAACTAGAGCAAGGAGTTAGAGAGCTACAGCAAGCCTGTACAAGAAGCTGCTCACTGAAGAGATGTGTGGACATAATTTCATTAGCTAACATGCTCAAGGAATTTATTTGAATCAGAGCACTGCACATGCACCTTGATGCATTGGGGAGTGAACCCCTTATCTTAAATTATATACATCAAGGATTCATGTTGTATTTTCACATTAACCTGGGTTTTGTCTCAAGGAGGAAAACATGTAAACATTTTCTCATCCATACAGTATAGAGGGGACTTTCATAATTCATGGCTGTTCTCAAACTACCCCCTAGCTAACATTATGTAAATACTGTTGATAAGACCCTTATTATGTGACAAGCAATGTTCAACTAGTAGACCTGCATAATCTGCAGAGGTAGCTAGGCTACATGTGGCCAATAATATGTGAAATACAAAGGACTTAATATATATTTTTTAGTAGTTTATCTGGGCTTTAAAATAATGTCTGTAATAAAAAACACTTTAGAAGTTAAATAAAATATTACAGCCAAATTTACCATCAAGCTCCATATCAAAACATCCATCTCCATGTCACCATTTCAGGTCTGAGGTCTGTGTCTCAGTCAGGAAGCATCATGTACAGTCAGTTACTGAAGCCAAGACTGGGTGTGCTTCCCAAATGGCACCGTATTCCCTATACAGTGCACTACTTTTGACCAGGGCGTATAGGGCTCTGGTCAAAAGTATTGAACTATGTAGAGAATAGAGTGCCATTTCAGACCCGCTTGGGCTCCCGCTAGGCAGGAAGCGCATTGACTTGCCTCCAATGGTCAATAGAGACTAACTCGCAGCAGGTAGCAAGCTAACCAGCCAACCTCAAAGAGGGATCCCTTCAGCCTGGAAGCGAGATATGGTGGTGATGTCTATTGAAGAGATAGATATGGTGGTGATGTCTGTCTGCCCTCCAAGCCATGAAGCGAGAGCTTCTCACTCACGCTCAGTGAGCTCAGTAGTTGTTTAAGTGAATGTGTGTGAATTTACGGGGAAAAAACTGCAACAGCAAATACCACTTTAAAGTCCTGCATGTTACGGACAACTTAATGGGATAATAAAAGGGATAAAATTCCTTGCACATAATTTTGTGGTGAAAGTTAAATTATATTTCTAAACTCTCAATTCAGTACCTTGAGGTGTGAACAGATGTATAGCAAATGACTGGTTTCTGGTTATCACCGTTTCACTGGATGAGACGTTCTGATCATCCACTTACAGGAAATACAGTTATAATGATACTAATACAACAAAATAAATGTTAGCCATAGGCCCTGTTGTAATACTTCAGAAATGCATAATTTTGTCCTTGTTTCCTTGAGGGAAGCACAGATCTATAAGTGATTGGATAGGTGTAAGCACGGTCGCCAACCTATTGCTTTCACCAATCCAACCAATTCCGAGCTGTGATTACTACAGAAGGGAAGTATATTTGATGAATTTGAATGTGGTGTTTCCTTCGCTCTCCTGACTGAAACTTATTGTTTTTGCCCTTGGCACATAACACATACCGGCTGTATCAAAATGTGGGGCGCGTAAGGAAAACAACCACCGAATTAATGTTCCGACAACAAAACGACACACACAGGCTCCTTGTTTCTCTGTCAAAATGTAATCAGCCGTGCCTCATAGTCTCTCAGGCAAGAGTGACTGCCAGGCAGGAAGATGTTACAGTAATTATTGTCTTGTTCGGTGCAGACTGAGTGCCTTGAATAAGATATAGTCCAGAGGAAAGCAAATCTATTTGCACAAAGCACTCCCAGCTCCCCATTTGTGTGTAGCCACCATTGTGTGTAGCCAGCTTTGTACCAGGTGTGTTTTGAAAGAACGAGAACAGAAAGGCTTGTGCGAGCTAACATGAGACTACGTTATCATTTTCTCCCCAGCTACACCTCTCTCCGAAGCGACCTTGGCGCCGGCTGAGCCTCTCCGGACGACAACCACCACAGCAACCACCACGGCAGCACGCAACAAAGGCGTAGCAAACACCATGACCACAACAGGGCCCAAGGAGGGTAACAACAGAGGAGAGCTCAAACCCCCTCCGGAGGTTCCCCAGACCACCGCCCCGCCGCCTCTGGAGTCCTTCCCCCTACCGGAGCGCTTCTGTGAGACCACGGAGAAGAGGGACATCATGTGGCCTCAGACCCAGAGGGGCATGTTAGTAGAGAGGCCTTGCCCAAAGGGGACCCGAGGTAAGCAGAGTGTTTACCTTAGGGCATTAGCTACTGTTTATCACCATGATGAGTGGTTAGAGAGTGTGTTTTTGTTACCTATACAGTATGATATTGTTTGTGACTATCATTTATTGATAGATTCAATTCGTGTAGGACTGTATAGGGAATCAACGAGATATAGTGTTTTTACAGTTGTGTGAATAATTCACTGCCTCGTAATAGGTCAAAATAGTCTTTAGCAATGTGCAGCCGTTGTTTTGAAGGGAACTGGCTCAGCTGTTTCCCCAAGCTTGATTGAATATGTTCAGGCCTTATTGGATTGTGTGTGAAATTGTGTTATCATTCAGGGTTCATTAGACGTTGGTGTAATTGGAACGGAAGGAAAAGTCTTATTATTACTTAATTTGTAGTGAAACTGGCACTGGGAGTATATAGTCAGTATTTATGGTAAATTACCAGCTATTGATGTAAAGACAACAATTAAATGCAGTGTATGTAGGCTTTTGGAGGTTAGGTTGGTTTAACACGATGAGGTATATGGCTAATATAATATGACATAATCCAATGTCGTTTCTAATATATATATATATATATATATATATATATATATATATATATATATATATATATATATATATATATATCTTATATAACTGAGCTAATGTAAACGTATTTTCCTGACAGGCACCGCCTCTTATTTATGTGTACTTGCCACGGGGGCCTGGCACCCAAAGGGCCCTGATCTCAGCAACTGCACTTCCCACTGGGTCAACCAAGTAGCCCAGAAGGTATGTATGAGCTGTACTGCCTCAGTGTTTTGAGCTACAGTATAAGTAAATGTACTAATTCCCTTAAAATACTATAGGTACTGCAGTGCTTGAAGTGGAATGAAAAAGGTGCCTGTAATCATTTTAATCTTACAGTAGTGGTGCTCATATTTTATATTCGATAAGAGGTACCGGTAATCTGTACCGGTGTGAACTGGCTCAATTCAAGCCCTGTAATAATTGTATATTCCTCTATCCCTTATATGGCACCTCTTTCCTTTCATCTTCCACCATTTATGATGATAAAAGAGTCAAAATAGCCGCGGGCCATCCACTAGGGTGCTCTGTCTGCTGTTTGTTCTGATAAGTGACTCAGACATGGAATGTGTAGTAATTTAAGCACGACGGACAACCCTTCATCATTTTGTATCCTTGTGTTCACTTCCATCAAATGAGAAATACAGCACCCCAAGGAGTGTTATTAAGTGTAATTAGTCACCCATCTCTTATATGGGGCAGCTCATCCTAGAATGACCTCACGTCAGAACGGGAGGGAGAGAGCCTCATAGTCTGGTCCCAGATCTGTATGTGATTAAGCCAATAGCATAATAACCATAGTCAGAGGACGACAAACAGATCTGGGTACAGTACTTAGCCAAGTTGATACTACCAGCCATTTCAGTTACTCATTTTAAAACATAGAAAGCCATAACAAATGCCTTTAGTATAAAGGTTAATTCATGCTTATAACAAGTCTTAAGCCTATAACATGGCTGTAAGAATATCAAATTCAATAAAATTCCTAAAACCCCAAATAGCTAGCATTGCAGAGGCAAAAGCACAGTGGCCAGGAAAAACTCCCTAGAAGGCAGTAGCCTACGAAAAAACCTAGAGAGGAACCAGGTTCAGTGTTACCAATAAAGTGTTACAAATATATTTTTTATTGCTCCAGATCCGTAGTGGCGAGAACGCAGCTAACCTGGCCAACGAGCTGGCCAAGCACACCAAAGGGCCCATCTTTGCCGGCGACGTGAGTTCGTCAGTCCGACTGATGGAACAGCTGGTCGACATCCTGGATGCTCAGCTTCAGGAGCTGAGACCCAGCGAGAAAGACTCTGCGGGCCGCAGTTTTAACAAGGTAACTGATTTTCCACCCTTTCAAAATGGCTGCCACTTGAAATCTTCATTCCCCTATCACGTACTGTTCTTTATGGAGATAAATAGCACTGTCATTTCTCCTCACCGGCAATCTCTCTGGATCTGAGTCACCGCTAGACGTTTTGTGATGCTCTTCTGAGCCGTCTCCCACTTCAAGTTAGGAGAAATGTGATTCCTTGTAGTCAGTGAAATGAGTGAAATAAGTGGTTATATTTGTCTTAATATTCATATTATGTCTGTTCCTCTCTCCCTTTCTTTCAAAGGCAGACAAAAGTACTCGAGCAAATAAAGAAACAGCAAACCAATTAGGGTATTATATGTACTGAAATGCAATAAGATAATGTTATTCCCTGACATATTTGTACACCTGAAGTAATTGCTGTAATTGCCTCTGCCAAGGCTTGTTCTATGAAGTCTCTGGTGTATTTGAGAGAACTAAATCATGCCACTAATGGGAGTGAGGTCACTTTTGTTCTGGAACCTGCAGGTAGCGTAGCCTACAGCATGAGGAAGGAGAAAGCCAGCTGAAAGAGGGGGAGTGATCAGAACAGTCAGTCAGAAGAGAATCGAAGCCTTGAACACTTGTTCTCAAGCTTCTACATTTTGTTAATTGTGTGTTTCTTTGTTTTATCTTTTTTTCTACCTAATGAAAAAGCTTCAAAAACGAGAAAGGACATGCAGGGCGTACATGAAGGTATCTGAGCTATGCTACTGTACCACACTCTGCTTCTCCGCACCTCCCTCTCCCCTGCTCAGCAGCATGTACCCTCTGTATTGTCATGTAGCCTCTCCCCCCTCTCTCTGTGCTTCCTGCATTTTGGAGTAATTGCTTCCACACAGCCATAATTGTGCCAAAAGTGCAAGCTACAGTGGGGAAAAAAAGTATTTAGTCAGCCACCAATTGTGCAAGTTCTCCCACTTAAAAATATGAGAGAGGCCTGTCATTTTGACAGACAAATTGAGAATTTTTTTTCTCAGAAAATCACATTGTAGGATTTTTTATGAATTTATTTGCAAATTATGGTGGAAAATAAGTATTTGGTCACCTACAAACAAGCAATATTTCTGGCTCTCACAGACCTGTAACTTCTTCTTTAAGAGGCTCCTCTGTCCTCCACTCGTTACCTGTATTAATGGCACCTGTTTGAACTTGTTATCAGTATAAAAGACACCTGTCCACAACCTCAAACAGTCACACTCCAAACTCCACTATGGCCAAGACCAAAGAGCTGTCAAAGGACACCAGAAACAAAATTGTAGACCTGCACCAGGCTGGGAAGACTGAATCTGCAATAGGTAAGCAGCTTGGTTTGAAGAACCAACTGTGGGAGCAATTATTAGGAAATGGAAGACATACAAGACCACTGATAATCTCCCTCGATCTGGGGCTCCACGAAAGATCTCACCCCGTGGGGTCAAAATGATCACAAGAATGTTGAGCAAAAATCCCAGAACCACACGGGGGGACCTAGTGAATGACCTGCAGAGAGCTGGGACCAAAGTAACAAAGCCTACCATCAGTAACACGTCTGGCACTGCAGGATTTGAGTCCCCTACGCCGCCATGGACTCAAATCCTGCAGTGCCAGACGTGTCCCCCTGCTTAAGCCAGTACATGTCCAGGCCCGTCTGAAGTTTGCTAGAGTGCATTTGGATGATCCAGAAGAGGATTGGGAGAATGTCATATGGTCAGATGAAACCAAAATAGAACTTTTTGGTAAAAACTCAACTCGTCGTGTTTGGAGGACAAAGAATGCTGAGTTGCATCCAAAGAACACCATACCTACTGTGAAGCATGGGGGTGGAAACATCATGCTTTGGGGCTGTTTTTCTGCAAAGGGACCAGGACGAATGATCCGTGTAAAGGAAAGAATGAATGTGGCCATGTATCGTGAGATTTTGAGTGAAAACCTCCTTCCATCAGCAAGGGCATTGAAGATGAAACGTGGCTGGGTCTTTCAGCATGACAATGATCCCAAACACACCGCCCGGGCAACGAAGGAGTGGCTTCGTAAGAAGCATTTCAAGGTCCTGGAGTGGCCTAGTCAGTCTCCAGATCTCAACCCCATAAAAAATCTTTGTAGGGAGTTGAAAGTATGTGTTGCCCAGCAACAGCCCCAAAACATCACTGCTCTAGAGGAGATCTGCATGGAGGAATGAGCCAAAATACCAGCAACAGTGTCACGCTCGTCGGGAACAGAGGAGGACCAAGGCGCAGCGTGGAATGCGAACATTTTATTAATTTGAATGAACACACGAACAAAACAACAAAACGAAAACGTGACGTCCCTGGTTACATACACGAACCAACACGGAACAAGAAACCACAATGAATGAATGCCTAACGGCTACCTAAGTATGACTCCCAATCAGAGACAACGAGCTACAGCCGTCTCTGATTGGGAGCCACCCTGGCCAACATAGATATACAACACCTAGAACCAACACACATGACAACTCACACCCTGGCTCAACATACTAGAGTCCCCAGAGCCAGGGCGTGACAGTACCCCCCCCTAAAGGCGCGGACTCCGACCGCGCCAACCAAATACCACAGGGGAGGGACCGGGTGGGCACTCCGCCTTGGCGGCGGATCCGGCTCCGGGCATGATCCCCACTCGCTCTCTAACCCCCCAAAGTACCCCTGGTCCGGTCTGGCCCTGCTGACCGGAGCTGGACTGCACACTGGTGGAGCGGATTGCTCTAGCTCCGGCGTAAAGCAGCTGACCCGTGCTGAACCAGGCACCAGTGGAACAGGCACGGGCTGTGCCGGACTGACGACGCACACCACTGGCTTGGTGTGGGGAGCAGGAACGGCCCGAGCCGGGCTGACGAAACGCACCCCTGACCTGGTGCGGGGAGCAGGAGCGGGCCGAACCGGGCTGACGAAACGCACCGCTGACTTGGTGCGGGGAGCAGGAACGGGCCGAGCCGGGCTGACGAAGCGCACCACTGACTTGGTGCGGGGAGCAGGAACGGGCCGAGCCGGGCTGACGAAGCGCACCACTGACTTGGTGCGGGGAGCAGGAACGGGCCGAGCCGGGCTGACGAAGCGCACCACTGACTTGGTGCGGGGAGCAGGAACGGGCCGAACCGTACTGGGGACACACACCACTGGTCCTACGCAGGGATCTGGAATGGGCCGGACCGGACTGGTAACACACCCCAGTACCTCTCGCCGTGCCTCTACACCTTCCATCCCCTCTTCGACCAGTGGCCCCCGTAACCTGGCGGCCTCCTCTGCCAACCCGCTGGGCCGCTCTGCCGCGGTCTCCTGCTGGCCCGTCGTCCACGGCGTTAGCCCCCCCCTAAAAAATTTCTGGCCGTCTCTCCTACCCGTGGACCAGGTCTCCATGTCCCTCGCCAGCCTTTCGCCCTTCTGCTTCCATGTCAAGCCCTTCTCTTCCTCACCCGGCTTGACCCAGTCGAGGAGGCGAAGGAGATCTGCTAGAGATCTCCCTGGCGATGGCTCCTGGACACGCTGCTTGGTCCAGTCTTGGTGGTTTCTTCTGTCACGCTCGTCGGGAACAGAGGAGGACCAAGGCGCAGCGTGGAATGCGAACATTTTATTAATTTGAATGAACACACGAACAAAACAACAAAACGAAAACGTGACGTCCCTGGTTACATACACGAACCAACACAGAACAAGAAACCACAATGAATGAATGCCTAACGGCTACCTAAGTATGACTCCCAATCAGAGACAACGAGCTACAGCCGTCTCTGATTGGGAGCCACCCTGGCCAACATAGATATACAACACCTAGAACCAACACACATGACAACTCACACCCTGGCTCAACATAATAGAGTCCCCAGAGCCAGGGCGTGACAAACAGTATGTGAAAACCTTGTGAAGACTTACAGAAAACATTTGACCTGTGTCATTGCCAACAAAGGGTATATAACAAAGTATTGAGAAACTTTTGTTATTGACCAAATACTTATTTTCCACCATAATTTGCAAATAAATTCATTAAAATCCTACAATGTGATTTTCTCGATTTTTCTTTCTCATTTTGTCTGTCATAGTTGACGTGTACCTATGATGAAAATTACAGGCTCTCTCATCTTTTTAAGTGGGAGAACTTGCACAATTGGTGGCTGACTAAATACTTTTTTTCCCCACTGTAAGTGGCAGAGACATCATTGGCAGTTACTAATGTAACTTATTTCAAAATTATTTTCTGTTTCTCCCTTATAATTACAGGAGGATTTTGTTTTGTTTTCGTGTATCTTTGTCTTCCATTGAATGGTCCTTTCTCTTTTTGCTTTAAGAAAGTACATGCCTAAATATGTAACACAGTGATTCACAAACTACATTTCATGGCTAAAATATGGGTAATTTCCCATATAAAGTTAGTCTGTGTGTTTTTTAAGCCACATATTCCTTTTTACTGTCACCTCCGATTCTGCGAGTCTCCTCAATCGAAAAGCCCATTACAGTGCTACAGTGCTAAGGATAGCTGCACTAAAGACTCTCTTTCCACCTGTGATGTATTCAAACCTTTGTCTTCCTCGGCCACACTCTGACCTTTAGCATGTTAATTCATGACAGTTCATTCATCAGGACACAGATTTTAATTTGTGTCATAAATTAGAGGCACAAATCTGCGCTTTCCGTCGGACTAATAAGGCTGTTGGGGGCAAACCAATTTGTGTCCTTCTCCATTTAATAGTTCCAGGGGCCTGCCGCTCTAAGTATTTCGGCCATATCCCTTCTCTGGCCATTAGGGACTTCTCAACATCCTTCTCCACCTGCCTCCAAAGTCAAGCTCTCTGACATACAGATCGCTCCACAGGGACAGTGTTAAAATGGATCAGGTTAATTAGTCCTTAGATGGCCATACTTGTTAGAAATAAGAATGTTAGCTAATAGCTACTACTCTTTCTCCCCAAATGTCTCATTATTGTCATCTCAATCATATTTTTTTATTTCTTTTTTGTGCATATTTCCAGCGCATTGCATGTTTCTGTGTTTCTGTGGCACATGGGCCTATTTTTTGTTGGTGAGGGTGGATGGGAAGATTTTAAATATGTATGTGACTAGATGACACTGTGTGTGAGCGGGATGCTGTGTGGGGTTCCTAAGAAAGCGCTGAGTCGACAGTATTTGACATACAGTATAGTTGATGGGAAGTCACATTAGCCACCCGTGCTAGCTGGAGGAGCCAGGCCCCCATTGATTACCTGATTAGTCTGATTGATTTGATAATTTTTTTAGGAGATCCCACTAGCGTCTGTATGTACTTTATCTACTACCTGTCGAGCACTAGCGACTGGCTAAACAGCTTGGATTTAATATTTCAAAATGCATAATGTTTTGGTTTTCTCAATGATTTGAGCTGTTTAATAGTGGTAAATGTTTATTATACAATACATTATAAAGATTAGCTGATAATTTTAAAAAATGGGCCCAGAAACATATTCAATTCTCTGCTTGAATGCACAGCAAATCACAAGAATTTACACCACATCAATACAGAGAATATACTTGTGTGCAGCATTTGTTTAGCACTTACCAGAAACCCCAAACATTTTTTTTTAATGATCATCCATAATATGTCAATGGGATTGCTTCGCCATGCATCAAATCTATTCATATGACTCCCCTCTTTGTTTTTGCTTATGGCAATTACTGTAGTCGCATGCGTTGAAAATTGTATTGTTTTCAGAAGTGCTTACACATGTCTTTTTCTGATGGACACAGGCCATTGTAGACACAGTTGACAACCTTCTGAGACCAGAGGCTCTGAAGTCCTGGCATGATATGAACAGCACGGAACAGACACATGCTGCTACTATGTTACTGGATACCCTGGAGGAAGGCGCGTTCGTCCTTGCCGACAACCTAATGGAGCCGGCTATTGTGAAAGTACCTGCTGATAATATAAGTAAGTAATTGAATTTCCGGTAAACAAATAATAAAGCATGCCCAGTGATTTGAGTGCAATCAGTCGTTTTTGATGCTGTACGCATATTTCAACTACTCATGTCATGAAATAAAATGAGTCTGTTCTATGAGTTCAGTGAGTAACGTTTGCTTTCACAATGTACATTTAAAACAAAGTGATGAATTTCAGACAATTTCCAGGTTCTTAGATTGTGTTGACTTGGTTTATAAATATGTACGTCTGTGCCATGTAATTCTATACATTAATGTGAACATTACCCTACTGCGGAGACCTGTGAAGTACAAACAGTGTTTAGACGCTGTGTCCTCCTTTAATCTCAAATATCTCGGGACATGAGAGGGAAGGAATGTAAAATGTTTCACTGTGCATTGCAACTACATTTCTTTTTTTTATTCAAATGCTTCAATTTTATCTTGCACATCCAGTCTTTCACTGGATTTTCACAAGTGTACTGTATCCCACAAAGGGACTCAACATGGTCTAAAGGATCACCTTGGTTCTGACATTTTAACTCAGCAGCCATATTGTTGTTGCATAGAATCACTTGAACAATGTCTACAGTGTCTGTAGTACCTAACACCCCCGCACTCTTGCGTCGCCTTAGGAATGTAAGCAATCACGTCCTTGGCATCAACATTTTCTATTCTCTTTTTTATTGCCCTCTTGTCTTACTCAAAACACACTGTAACGTCTGGTATCTCTCTCTCTATCTCTCCCGGTCTCTCTCTTTTCTTGTCTCTTTTTTCCCCCTTCATTATCACCAAAACCCCAGTCCTGGATGTGTATGTGCTCAGCACGGACGGCCAGGTTCAGGATTTCAAATTTCCACAGGCCAGCAAGGGTGGTGTTTCTATCCAGCTGTCCTCCAATACTGTCAAGCTCAACAGTCGGAATGGTAAGCCCCATACACCCCCCTCTACGAAATCTCACTTCATTCACAGGCAGAGCTGCATGCGGGTGTTTATCCCAAGTGTGAGTGTTAGCTCAGACTTTTTGTTCCATTCCAGTGTCTATGAAAAGGTGAAGAGTATGTCGAACGGTCTGTCAATGCAGCTTGTCAAAACTGACAATACACAGTGATTACTCCGTGGGACTGTTAGATAGGAGCGACCACTAAGGATTTGAACCCTAAAACCCAGCACCATGATATTTTCTGAAGAAAACTGACAACTCCCACTTATATTCCCTCATGGTCTAGTCCGTCTTTTTATTCTCTGCCCTTAGTGTTTTTTTAACACTACAGTTACTGCTGCTTTTATTTTAAAAGAACATGTTTACCTAGCCGCTTACCTATTCTGTTTTTCCTTTCTTCAGGGGTTGCCAAGCTGGTGTTTGTTTTGTACAAAAACCTTGGGCAGTTTCTCAGCACTGACAACGCCACGATCAAAATGTCCAACGATGCTTATGGGCGGAATGTGTCGGTGGCTGTAAATTCGGACATCATTGCCGCCTCCATCAACAAAGAGTCCAGTCGCGTGTTCATCACGGACCCTGTGATTTTCACCCTGGAACACATTGATGTGAGTCTTCCTAAGCTAAATTAATGGAGAGGTCATAAAACCGCTGGGAAAGAGAATAGCTTTGGATAAAAGCGTCTTCTAAATGGCATATACAGGTAACCGCCAAAATAAAGGAAACACTTGAGGAATACTAAGTATATTGAAAGCAGGTGCTTCCACACAGATGTGGTTCCTGAGTTAATTAAGCAATTAAAACATCTCATCATGCTTAGGTTCATGTATAAAAATGCCCAGTTGCCCATTATTCTAGCTACATGGCTAGAAGAGGAGATATCAGTTACTTTGAAAGAGGGGTCTCAAAGGAGCATAGGGGTTTAAAGCAGGGGTTCCCAACCTTTTTTCCCCAGGGCCCCATTACATTTAAACATTTCATTTGTTTAAATTTCTTTAGATTATTGTTTATTTAGATAGCCTATATTAAATGCACCATCATTTTGTTTAATTTGAGGGACCTAGGAAATGTTGTTGTTTTGAAGCTCAGTTCCTGCATTTCTACGTAGTTTAACAAGACTCATTACTATATTAATAATAATGATAATAATAGTAATAATAATAATAATAATAATAATAATAATAATAATAATAATAATAATAATAATAATAATAATAATAATAATAATAATAATGAACATGGAAAAGTCTAGACCTGATTTCCCAAAATGTTATTCCACTACCAAATATGTTTTATTATGATAATTTTCATGAACCTTCAATTGAATATTCTGTTTTACAGAAGGTGAATAGATCAATTGATAGCGACAGAATCACACATTGTATAAGATTACTTCCCAAGCAAAGTAACATTTATTTGCGTCCTCGACTTATCATAGCGGTAAAGATATTCCCATGTGTATCAGAGTTGCGTCTTCCTCTGTAATTTTACCGCTTGTTTCTAGCCTAAAGCATCATGGATTTATGTGTTGTTTTAGATTGGTATAGACAATTGCGATCACGTTGGTATATGTGTGTGTGACTAAGACGAGTAGGTACGGTGTCTCAGGCGCCGCTCCAGAATCTCCAATAAGTGTTCAGTTGGGTTGAGATCTGGAGTCTGAGACACACACACACACACACACACACAAACACACACACACAGTTTAAAGGGTGTGTGTGTGTGTGTGTGTGTGTGTGTGTGTCTCAGACTCCAGATCTCAACCCAACTGAACACTTATTGGAGATTCTGGAGCGGCGCCTGAGACACCGTTTTCCACAACCACCAACAAAACACCAAGTGATGGAATTTGTCGTAGAAGAATGGTGTCGCATCCCTCCAATAGAGTTCCAGACACTTGTAGGATCTAGCCCAAGGCGCATTGAAGCTGTTCTGGCGGCTCGTGATGGCCAAACGTCCTATTAAGATACTTTATGTTGGTGTTGCCTTTATTTAGGCAGTTACCTGTATATAAATATGTATTTTTTGTTTTCCACATTTTGTTGTGTTACAGAATGAATTCAAAATTGACTAAATAGATTGTTGAGCTCAGGTGCTTGGAGTCCACCTGTGGCCAATTCAATTGTTGTTTGGACATGATTTAGAAAGAAACGCACCTGTCTATATAAGGTCCCACAGTTGACAGTGCATGTCAGAGCAGAAGCTATACCATGAAGTCCAAGGAACTGTCCGTAGAGCTCTGAAATAGAATTGTGATGAGGAATATATCTGGGGAAGGGTATAAAACAATTTTACATTTACATTTTAGTCATTTAGCAGACGCTCTTATCCAGAGCGACTTACAGTTAGTGAGTGCATACCTTTTCATACTGGCCCCCCGTGTGAAACGAACCCACAACCCTGGCGTTGCAAGCGCCATGCTCTACCAACTGAGCTACAGGGGACCTACACTTCTCGAGTGTTCAAAGTTTCAAAGAGCATAGTGGTCTCCATCATTGGGAAATTGAAAAAATATGGAACTACCCAGACTCTGCCTAGAGCTGGCCGTCCGACCAAACTGAGCAACCGGGCAAGAAGGACCTTGGTCAGGGAGGTGACCAAGAACCCAATGACCACTCTGACAGAACTACAGAGTTTCTTTGGCTGAGATGGGAGAACGTACCAGAAGGACAACAGTCTCTACAACACTTCACCAATCTGGGCTTTATGGGAGAGTGGCCAGTAGGAAGCCACTCCTGAGAAAAAGGTACATGACAGCATGCCTGGAGTTTGCAAAAAGGCACGTGAAAGATAATGAAAATATTCTGTGGTCTGATGAGACAAAAAATTAATACAAAGCTCTATGTCTAAAGAAAACCAGGCACAGCTCATCACCCGTCTATGCTACTGTGAAGCGTAGTGGTGGCAGCATCATGCTATGGGGATGCTTTTCAGTAGCAGTGATTGGGAGACTGGTAAGGATAGAGGGAACAATGAATGGAGCCAAATAGAGGGAAATCCTTCATCAGAACCTGCTTCAGAGTGCAAACGACCATAGACTGCGGTGAAGATGTATGTTCCAACAGGAAAAATACCCAAAGCATACAGCCAAAGCAATGGAATGGCTTCAGAACAAAAATGTGAAAGTCCTTGAGTGGCCCAGCCAAAGCCCAGACTTGAATTCCAGTGAAAATCTATGGAAAGACTTGAAGATTGCTGTTCACCGCCGCTCCCATCTAACTTAGCAGAACATAAGAAAATCTGCAAGGAAGAATGGGAGTATCCCCAAATCCAGATGTGCAAAGCTGATATAGACATCCCGAAGATGACTCAAAGCTGTAATCGCCTCCAAAAGTGCTTCTACAAAGTATTGACTCAGGGGTGTGATTACTTATGTAAATGAGATATTTCTGTATTTATTTTTCAATGCATTTGCAAAATGTTCTATTAACATGTTTTCACTTTGTCATTATGGGGTATTGTGTGTAGATTGGTGAGAAAAATACTCATTTTAATCCATATTGAATTCAGGCTGTAACACAACACATTTTGGAATAAGTCAAGGGGTATGAATACTTTTTGAAGGCAACATAAGGATATAAATTATTCCCATTTTATTTTATGGAGGAACAAACTAATTTATAGATTAGCCATACAATGTAGGATTAAATTACTGGAGAATCAATTATCCTTTATCTTTTAAAGTTGTCAAGAGGGACTCCCAGAGGGCTACTCATGAGTCTGTTCTTTATCAAGGAAATTGTTCATTTCCAAAGACAAGCCGGCCCACCAATTGTATAAACAAACAGTAATAACACGAGGAATAAATACACAATGAGTAACAATAACTTGGCTTTATTTTTTTATTTAACTAGGCAAGTCAGTCAAGAACAAATTCTTATTTACAATGACGGCCTACACGGACGACGCTGGGCCAATTGTGCGCCGCCCTATGGGACTCCCAATCACGGCCAGTTGTGATACAGCCTGGAATCGAACTAGGGGGTCTGTAGTGATGCCTCAAGCACTGAGATGTTGTGCCTTAGACCGCTGCGCCACTCGGGAGCCGTTATACAACGGGTGGGTCTAAATCCTGAATGCTGATTTGTTAAAACCACATTCCAGCCGGTGTCTATTCCACAAGTTACCACCGGCTAAATCTATGACGTTAAAATGCCTATTTACTCTGTTCCATCTGACTGCGCAATCCACTGTCTCATTAGCCCAGCCAGGCACTTTATAAACTTGATCTCCACTATAAAAAGCATCTAGACATTATCTCACATTTCTTTTAGACTAACATTTCATTTTCAACAGCAGAGATTTGTATAAACCTTGCTGTCTGTCTCTCCGACATTTGCAACATTGTTTCAATATTCAAATTCGATCTCCAGCTGTCCAATAGTAATGAACGTGTCGGGAGTCGGGACGAGACAGACAGGCAGCGTTTCTCAACCAGTCGAAATCATGAATCAGCTGGCATAATTTTTTTTTCAATTGAAAAAAGGTCAAACGAAACGAAATGCAGCTAGTTTACAGTCTTTCCAGCTTCAGTTTGAAGTGATTGTGTTAGCTGTGTTGTTGGCTAGCTCCTCTGAACAACAGTGTCCTGACGAGTGAGCACATTTTCTATGCCAAACAAAATCGCTCCTCATTAGCTCATTGTTATGGATGTATCCAAATAAATGTCACTAGAAAACAGCATAAACAAATGCAAATGCAGCTACTTTGCTGTTATTCTGGCTGCACTTTTTGACGTGAATTTAAGTTAGCCGTAGTTGGCTAGCTAGCAAGCAAGGGATAAGAACATTGCCTGCCAGTATGGCAATGGAACGGAACCAATAGAACGAATGACCAGCCGGCTTGGGTAGCAACCCTAGATCTTCTGGAAGGATGAAATAGTATGAATAAATTCATCAAATTAACGTTTCTAATGAAAATACAGTGCATTCGGAAAGGATTCAGACCCCTTCCCTTTTTCCACATTATGTTACGTTACAGCCTTATTCTAAAATTGATTAAATAAAATAAAATCCTCATTAATATACACACAATACCCCATAATGATCAAGCAAAAACTGTTTTTTAGAAATGCTAGCAAATATATTAAAAATAAAAAACAGAAATACCTTATTTACTTAAGTATTCAGACCCTACGCATCCTGTTTCCATTGATCATCCTTGAGATGTTTCTACAACTTCATTGGAGTCCACTTGTGGTAAATTCAATTGATTGGACATTATTTGGAAAGGCACACACCTATCTATATAAGGTCCCACAGTTGACAGTGCATGTCAGAGCAAAAACCAAGCCATGAGGTCGAAGGAATTGTCCCTAGAGCTGCGAGACAGGAATGTGTTGAGGCACAGATCTGGGGAAGGGTACCAAACAATGTCTGCAGCATTGAAGGTCCCCAAGAACACAGTGGCCTCCATCATTCTTGAATTGAAGAAGTTTGGAACCACCAAGACTCTTCCTAGAGCTGGCCGCCCGGCCAAACTGAGCAATTAGGGGAGAAGGGCCTTGTGTCGGGACTTCGTCTCTGGCCTAACAACAACCGTGCCAATATATCCTCCAAACACCGGCTTCTCGGGCATTATCACTTAAATATACACAGGGTACCATTACCGAGTCGATGTGCAGGGGTACGAGGTAATTGAGGTAGATATGTACATATAGCAGCGTATGTGATGAGTCAAAAGAGTTAGTACAAAGAGGGTCAATGCAGATAGTCCGTGTAGCTATTTGGTTAACTATTTTGTGATGTTATGGCTTGGGGGTAGAAGCTGTTCAGGGTCCTGTTGGTATGGCTTTGGTAGATTTAACAAGTACGCAACCAAATTAGATATTATATTTTTAAATAAATAAAGGAAATGCATTATGCACCTCTCCTTTATCAATGCAGTATCTTTATGCGAGTGGTAAAATGGTAATACGTTCTGTACATATTCTGATTTGGACAGTCAGTTATTTCAACACTTAATCTCATCATCAGATGGACCACTACTTCAACTCCAATTGCTCCTTTTGGAATTATTCTGAGAGGAGCATGATGGGATACTGGTCCACCCAGGGCTGCAAGCTCCTGGGCTCCAATAAGACCCACACCACCTGCTCCTGCAGTCATCTCACCAACTTTGCAGTTCTCATGGCACATCGGGAAAGCTCGGTAAGCAGCTCCTGTTTTGGTATATATATTTTTTTTTCTTGGGTAAAACAATTTGTACAGTTTAAACCAATTTAAAAGTACAAATAAATCACATAGGATAACACATGAGAGAGTTAAATACACGTATTTCTAATGTACATTTCAGTAGATTTGCAGTATCATCTAGCATCTTTTTTTCCTCTATTCAGTAGATGAATTTGTTTCCCTATAGCCCATTCATTTCAATGATTTTATTGTACTTCAAAGTGTATTTCATGAGGGTCTGTAGGCCTAATACTCCATGTTTAATACTCCATGTTTTCCAGGTGTATGCAGATTATAGGAATTAAAAAAGTGCTTGTAGGAATTAAAACGACACGGCCTAACTACAGCACCGTAGCCTTGCTTTAAATTCCACCCAGTCAGTTGTCCTCTATCAGACGCTAATTGTACTCATTTGAAGGGCTCAGCCCATGATTGATGGCCGCTGAGCATTTATTTCCTCATGTCTCCCATGAAATAGAACAGTCATTTTCCCTTGGCTGCTTGCCAAAATTAAGTATGGAAGCATTGGCCATCCTTTATTTTTTTTGACAAAACAGGCATATTCATTTGCCCCATCCGTTAACCCCGCAGGGCCAAGATGGAGTGCACAAGTTACTCTTGACTGTCATCACCCGGGTGGGCATCGTCATCTCGCTGGTGTGCTTGGCCATCAGCATTTTCACCTTCTGCTTCTTCCGGGGCCTGCAGAGCGATCGCAACACCATCCACAAGAACCTGTGCATCAATCTCTTCATCGCCGAGTTAATATTCCTAATCGGTATCGATATGACTGAACCCAAGGTAAGCACCACAGATTGACCTATTGATTTTATTTTTGTGGATGTGTTCTTTTCTGTATATTTTTCTGTTGCACCCCAAACTAAAAACCCTTCCATGTTAAAGTCATGAGACTTTCAAACATAGTTGTGTCTAACCTTCAGTAATTGTCCTCTGCATGACATGGGTCAGACAGACAGCACCATTAATATGGATTACAGAGGAGGGATGTCATGCAGTACTTTCCACTTTTTTCTTTGTCACTGAAAGCTATCGTTTAGAACGTTCTGAAACACTCAATACAGCCTCTGCACCCTTTTAGTTCTTCAATTTCCTCTGCATTCTCTTTTAGTTCTACTTCTCTCCATGGCCTTTGTGTAGTCATAGTACCTTCCACCTCCACACAGTCAGTATTCACTGTAAAACCAAGGCTCAATGAAAGGAAAAAAGCAGAAGTAATTCAAATAGGTTGACCATGGAGCCTGCAGCCCTTAGCCTTTCAAGACAACTGTCATTTAAGTAGCCAGCTGCAAGGTCGAACTTGAGCGAACCTGTAAGCAGCATAGTGTGTTTGAATATGTTTTGGTCTTTCAAAGGGAAGTGTGATAACCTTTACTTCTGTTCATTACTTACATTGAAATGCACATAACTACCGTATAATAACAATCGCACTCAATTGAATTACATCATTTTCATTGGGATTTGAGAAGAATAACATGGAATGTTAAAGTTAATATCTATAATGTTTTGATGAATTGAAACTATTAATCCATCCACTATAGATTGGCTGTTCCATCGTCGCTGGGATTTTGCATTTCTTCTTCCTGGCCTCATTCTCCTGGATGTGTTTGGAGGGCGTTCAGTTATACCTCATGCTGGTGGAAGTTTTCGAGAGTGAACATTCAAGGAAAAAGTACTACTATGTATCTGGATACCTTCTCCCAGCCATTGTGGTGGGTGTCTCTGCTGCTATTGACTACAGGAGCTACGGGACAAAGAAAGCGTACGTAAAATTTTATTTTACGCTATTGTGTTCTCTAAGAAACTGTCATAGTTCATACAGTTGAAGTCGGAAGTTTGCTTACACTTAGGTTGGAGTCATTAAAACTTGTTTTTCAACCACTCCGCAAATGTCTTGTTAACAAACTATAGTTTTGGCAAGTCGGTTAGGACACCTACTTTGTGCATGACACAAGTAATTTTTCCAACAATTGTTTACAGACAGATTATTTCACATATAATTCACGGTATCACAATTCCAGTGGGTCAGAAGTTTACATGCACTAAGTTGACTGTGCCTTTAAACAGCTTGGAAAATTCCAGAAAATGATATCATGGCTTTAGAAGCTTCTGATGGGCTACTTGACATAATTTCAGTCATTTGGAGGTGTACCTGTGGATGTATTTCAAGGCCTACCTTTAAACTCAGTGCCTCTTTGCTTGACATCGTGGGAAAATCAAAATAAATCAGCCAAGACCTCAGAAAACAAATTGTAGACCTCCACAAGTCCGGTTCATCCTTGGGAGCAATTTCCAAACGCCTGAAGGTACCACGTTCATCTGTACAAACAATAGTACGCAAGTATAAACACCATGGGACCACGCAGCCGTCATACTGCGCAGGAAGGAGACGCATTCTGTCTCCTAGAGATTAACGTACTTTGGTGAGAAAAGTGCAAATCAATCCCAGAACAACAGCAAAGGACCTTGTGCTGGAGGAAACAGGTACAAAAGTATCTATATCCACAGTAAAGCGAGTCCTATATCGACATAACCTGAAAGGCCACTCAGCAAGGAACTGCTCCAAAACCGCCATAAAAAAGCCAGAATACGGTTTGCAACTGCACATGGGGACAAAGATCGTACTTTTTGGAGAAATGTCCTCTGGTCTGATGAAACAAAAATAGAACTGTTTGGCCATAATGACCGTTGTTATGTTTGGAGGAAAAAGGGGAATGCTTGCAAGCTAAAGAACACCATCCCAACCGTGAAGCACGGCGGTGGCAGCATCATGCTGTGGGGGTGCTTTGCTGCAGGAGGGACTGGTGCACTTCACAAAATAGATGGCATCATGAGGAAGGAAAATTATGTGGATATATTGAAGCAACATCTCAAGACATCAGTCAGGAAGTTAAAGCTTGGTCGCAAATGGGTCTTCCAAATGGACAATGCTTCCAAAATTGTGGCAAAATGGCTTAAGGACAACAAAGTCAAGGTATTGGAGTGGCCATCACAAAGCCCTGACCTCAATCCTATAGAACATTTGTGGGCAGAACTGAAAAAGCCTGTGCGAGCAAGGAGGCCTACAAACCTGACTCAGTTACACCAGCTCTGTCAGGATGAATGGGCCAAAATTCACCCAACTTATTGTGGGAAGCTTGTGGAAGGCTACCTGAAACGTTTGATCCAAGTTAAACAATTTGAAGGCAATGCTACCAAATACTAATTGAGTGTATGTAAACTTCTGACCCACTGGGAATGTGATGAAAGAAATAAAAGCTGAAATAAATCATTCTCTCTACTACTATTCTGACATTTCACATAAAGTGGTGATCCTAACTGACCTAAGACAGGGAATTACTAGGATTAAATGTCAGGAATTGTGAAAAACTGAGTTTAAAAGTATTTGGCTAAGGTGTATGTAAACTTCCGACTTCAACTGTATATACCGTGTGTATATGCAGTATGGACGCTAAAATGTGACTAAGAACTATCTTCACTGTCGTCGCTTTTGTCTGCACCTGAGACCCCTTCCTGGAATGGACTGATCCATTTTTTATGTAATTTTAAAACGCCTGACAGACTCAACACTGTGGTTTCTAGGGAGGCATGGCAGCATTAATGCCTTTCTGTTCAAAGACCCTCCTGCGACCTCTTGTTTGTAAATGCTCTCTTAAAGAGCGGAGTGCTGTCTTGAAAAAGGCTTTTACATAGATTAATGATAGTATTTTAGCTAAGCTTCAGGATTGAGGCAAAGCTAGAGTCCTCACTTTTGTCTTGTTTAACCATGTAACTGCAATACTTGCGAGGCAGCTTTTGAAAGTGAAGTTGGGGCTTTGTTTTTAGATGGCTATTTTTAGGTAGCTTTTTCTTTGATTATTGACAATAAATTAACTCCCATGTGTTAAGAGGGGCAGGGTACGTTTTTGTACTCACAATTCATGCCCTTGCATTCATATTTGGCCTAAGGAGGCTGTTGATAGACTGGGTTTAGTTGTTGTTCCTCGTGTGTTTTGTTCTTTTATGGATTCCTAACATATTTGTTTTATCTTCCATCATAGTTGCTGGCTAAGAGTGGACAATCACTTCATATGGAGCTTTTTAGGACCTGTCACCTTCATCATCATGGTAAGTTAGTTGTATTTTCATGAGAGAGAGGGAGAGAGAGAAAAATGTTTCTCAATGATTGGCCACACTGATACAGTATGTTCATAGTTACTTGCAATTGTCAGTGCCAAGGACCGATGAGATTGACAACAACCACAGTGTGAAAGACTAAGGGTCGAATAGTATCTTTTAATTTTGTAATTTTTTGTGAAACCCACCGTTTTCTGCTCAAATCCATTTTCTGAATTTACCTAATGAGCCTGAAATAGTCCTAAATGTCTTGGAGTAACAGTTTCTGTCTGAAAGAACAAGTAGGACACGAAATGCAAAACATCTCTGTTCTTCTCATGCCCCCATGCTGTAGTATTTAGTAATAGTAGTAGTATTTATTGGGAACCCCAATTAGCCACTTCCTGGGATCAAAACAGGAAACAAAACACAACAAATAAAATACAAATATAATAGTCATAATACAGTGAGGGAAAAAAGTATTTGATCACCTGCTGATTTTGTACGTTTGCCCACTGATAAATAAATGATCAGTCTATAATTTTAATGGTAGGTTTATTTGAACAGTGAGAGACAGAATAACAACAACAAAATCCAGAAAAACGCATGTCAAAAATGTTATAAATTGATTTGCATTTTAATGAGGGAAATAAGTATTTGACGCCCTCTCAATCAGAAAGATTTCTGGCTCCCAGGTGTCTTTTATACAGGTAACAAGTTGAGATTAGGAGCACACTCTTAAAGGGAGTGCTCCTAATCTCAGTTTGTTACCTGTATAAAAGACACCTGTCCACAGAAGCAATCAATCAATCAGATTCCAAACTCTCCACCATGGCCAAGACCAAAGAGCTCTCCAAGGATGTCAGGGACAAGATTGTAGACCTACACAAGGCTGGAATGGGCTACAAGACCATCGCCAAGCAGCTTGGTGAGAAGGTGACAACAGCTGGTGTGATTATTCGCAAATGGAAGAAACACAAAAGAACTGTCAATCTCCCTCGGCCTGGGGCTCCATGCAAGATCTCACCTTGTGGAGTTGCAATGATCATGAGAACGGTGAGGAATCAGCCCAGAACTACACAGAGGATCTTGTCAATGATCTCAAGGCAGCTGGGACCATAGTCACCAAGAAAACAATTGGTAACACGCTACGCCGTGAAGGACTGAAATCATGCAGGGCCCGCAAGGTCCTCAAGAAAGCACATATACAGGCCCATCTGAAGTTTGCCAATGAACATCTGAATGATTCAGAGGAGAACTGGGTGAAAGTGTTGTGGTCAGATGAGACCAAGATTGAGCTCTTTGGCATCAACCCATCTCGCCGTGTTTGGAGGAGGAGGAATGCTGCCTATGACCCCAAGAACACCATCCCCACCGTCAAACATGGAGGTGGAAACATTATGCTTTGGGGGTGTTTTTCTGCTAAGGGGACAGGACAACTTCACCGCATCAAAGGGACGATGGACGGGGCCATGTACCGTCAAATCTTGGGTGAGAACCTCCTTCCCTCAGCCAGGGCATTGAAAATGGGTCGTGGATGGGTATTCCAGCATGACAATGACCCAAAACACACAGCCAAGGCAACAAAGGAGTGGCTCAAGAAGAGGCACATTAAGGTCCTGGAGTGGCCTAGCCAGTCTCCAGACCTTAATCCCATAGAAAATCTGTGGAGGCAGCTGAAGGTTCGAGTTGCCAAATGTCAGCCTCGAAACCTTAATAACTTGGAGAAGATCTGCAAAGAGGAGTGGGACAAAATCCCTCCTGAGATGTGTGCAATCCTGGTGGCCAACTACAAGAAACGTCTGACCTCTGTGATTGCCAATAAGGGTTTTGCCACCAAGTACTTATTTCCCTCATTAAAATGCAAATCAATTTATAAAATTTTTGACATGCGTTTTTCTGGATTTTTTTCTTGTTATTCTGTCTCTCACTGTTCAAAAAAACCTACCATTAAAATTATAGACTGAGCATGTCTTTGTCACTGGGCAAACGTACAAAATCAGCAGGGGATCAAATAATTTTTTCCCTCACTGTATACATAATACACATAATATACATAATATACACTACATATGCCTCATGCTACAGAAACAGGAGATGGCTCCTGCCCTATGAGCCGTTCTGGCTCACACAAGCCAAGGATTCGTGCAAGGTCACCCACCTACAGTTGAAGTCGGAAGTTTACATACACCTTAGCCAAATACATTTAAACTCAGTTTTTCACAATTCCTGACATTTAATCCTAGTAAAAAGTACCTGTCTTAGGTCAGTTAGGATCACCACTTTATTTTAAGAATGTGAAATGTCAGAATAATAGATTTATTTCAGCTTTTATGTCTTTCATCACATTCCCAGTGAGTCAGAAGGTTACATACACTCAATTAGTATTTGGTATTATTGCCTTTAAATTGTTTAACTTGGGCCAAACGTTTCGGGTAGCTTCCACAAGCTTCCCACAGTAAGTTGGGTGTAACTGAGTGAGTTTTGTAGGCCTCCTTGTCCGCACACGCTTTTTCAGTTCTGCCCACACATTTTCTATAGGATTGAGGTCAGGGCTTTGTGATGGCCACTCCAATACCTTGACTTTGTTGTTCTTAAGCCATTTTGCCACAACTTTGGAAGTATGCTTGGGGTCATTTTCCATTTGGAAGACCCATTTGCGACTAAGCTTTAACTTCCTGACTGATGTCTTGAGATGTTGCTTCAATATATCCACATAATTTTCCTTCCTCATGATGCCATCTATTTTGTGAAGTGCACCAGTCCCTCCTGCAGCAAAGCACCCCCACAGCATGATGCTGCCACCCCCGTGCTTCACGGTTGGGATGGTGTTCTTCGGCATGCCAGCCTTCCCCTTTTTCCTCCAAACATAACGATGGTCATTATGGCCAAACACTCTATTTTTGTTTCATCAGACCAGAAAAAATTTCTCCAAAAACTACGATCTTTGTCCCCATGTGTAGTTGCAAACCGTAGTCTGGCTGTTTTGGAGCAGTGGCTTCTTCCTTGCTGAGCGGCCTTTTAGGTTATGTCGATATAGGACTCGTTTTACTGTGGATATAGATACTTTTGTACCTGTTTCCTCCAGCATCTTCACAAGGTCCTTTGCTGTTGTTCTGGGATTGATTTCCACTTTTCGCACCAAAGCACGTTCATCTCTAGGAGACAGAACGCGTCTCCTTCCTGAGCGGTATGACGGCTGTGTGGTCCCATGGTGTTTATACTTGTGTACTATTGTTTGTTGTTTGTACAGATGAACGTGGTACCTTCAGGCGTTTGGAAATTGCTCCCAAGGATGAACGAGACTTGTGGAGGTCTACAATTTTTTTTCTGAGGTCTTGGCTGATTTATTTTGATTTTCCCATGATGTTAAGCAAAGAGGCACTGTGTTTGAAGTTTGGCCTTGAAATACAGTGGGGAAAAAAATATTTAGTCAGCCACCAATTGTGCAAGTTCTCCCACTTAAAAAGATGAGAGAGGCCTGTAATTTTCATCATAGGTACACGTCAACTATGACAGACAAACTGAGAATTTTTTTTCCAGAAAATCACGTTTTAGGATTTTTAATTAATTTATTTGCAAATTATGGTGGAAAATAAGTATTTGGTCACCTACAAACAAGCAAGATTTCTGGCTCTCACAGACCTGTAACTTCTTCTTTAAGAGGCTCCTCTGTCCTCCAGTCGTTACCTGTATTAATGGCACCTGTTTGAACTTGTTATCAGTATAAAAGACACCTGTCCACAACCTCAAACAGTCACACTCCAAACTCCACTATGGCCAAGACCAAAGAGCTGTCAAAGGACACCAGAAACAAAATTGTAGACCTGCACCAGGCTGGGAAGACTGAATCTGCAATAGGTAAGCAGCTTGGTTTGAAGAAATCTACTGTGGGAGCAATTATTAGGAAATGGAAGACATACAAGACCACTGATAATCTCCCTCGATCTGGGGCTCCACGCAAGATCTCACCCCGTGGGGTCAAAATGATCACAAGAACGGTGAGCAAAAATCCCAGAACCACACGGGGGGACCTAGTGAATGACCTGCAGAGAGCTGGGACCAAAGTAACAAAGCCTACCATCAGTAACACACTACGCCGCCAGGGACTCAAATCCTGCAGTGCCAGACGTGTCCCCCTGCTTAAGCCAGTACATGTCCAGGCCCGTCTGAAGTTTGCTAGAGTGCATTTGGATGATCCAGAAGAGGATTGGGAGAATGTCATATGGTCAGATGAAACCAAAATATAACTTTTTGGTAAAAACTCAACTCGTCGTGTTTGGAGGACAAAGAATGCTGAGTTGCATCCAAAGAACACCATGCCTACTGTGAAGCATGGGGGTGGAAACATCATGCTTTGGGGCTGTTTTTCTGCAAAGGGACCAGGACGACTGATCCGTGTAAAGGAAAGAATGAATGGGGCCATGTATCGTGAGATTTTGAGTGAAAACCTCCTTCCATCAGCAAGGGCATTGAAGATGAAACGTGGCTGGGTCTTTCAGCATGACAATGATCCCAAACACACCGCCCGGGCAACGAAGGAGTGGCTTCGTAAGAAGCATTTCAAGGTCCTGGAGTGGCCTAGCCAGTCTCCAAATCTCAACCCCATAGAAAATCTTTGGAGGGAGTTGAAAGTCTGTGTTGCCCAGCGACAGCCCCAAAACATCACTGCTCTAGAGGAGATCTGCATGGAGGAATGGGCCAAAATACCAGCAACAGTGTGTGAAAACCTTGTGAAGACTTACAGAAAACGTTTGACCTGTGTCATTGCCAACAAAGGGTATATAACAAAGTATTGAGAAACTTTTGTTATTGACCAAATACTTATTTTCCACCATAATTTGCAAATAAATTCATAAAAAATCCTACAATGTGATTTTCTGGATTTTTTTTCCTCATTTTGTCTGTCATAGTTGATGTGTACCTATGATGAAAATTACAGGCCTCTCTCATCTTTTTAAGTGTAGAACTTGCACAATTGGTGGCTGACTAAATACTTTTTTTCCCCACTG